ATCAATATATAGTGAACTAAAATCAAAATATGTCTGATTCTAATATTCCCTGCATTTGTGTTTTAATGCATTGGAAAAATAGAAAAAAAAACAAATACAAATCTGCATTCTGTGGTGTTTCGATAAAATTCAAAATAGGGAGATGGGTCATTCTCCGTTCTTCTACTGCAGGTTCGGAAACGGAAAACCAATTAACGAAAGGTACACAGTCCGTGTACCTTCTGTTCATTTGATTTTCATTTCAAAATCCAGTATTGAACTCTTTTCTAGTTCTGTTACTGTCAGTGGAAAAAACAAGCAATACATTCATTTTACACTTTCACAAACTAATCATAAAATCAAACAACAAATTAACAACAATGGAATAAGGGGTCGTATTTTACTGATCCAGATAATCCAGAAATAAACGTGCAGAATGCAGGGTTGTCGCAGAAACTCAGAAACCAGGTGGTGGCAGTTAAAATGATAAAGATGGGAAATATGGAGCATGAATGTTGAGAATATGAGGCCTAGTTCTGACATTTTGTGAGGCTTTATGACATTTGTGTTTGTATATTTGACCAAAAAATGAACCAATATGGAGAAGAGATTGCGTACTGGACCCCCACCGTTTAGCGGCAAAAAACATACAGTAACTTCACGTCCTCCGAGGTGAAGTGTGTTATAGTGTGTTATTGCTCCAGACTTGCGCTATCCTGCGTTCATAGTGGTCAACACTGTGGCTGCTGCAGTGGCTCTGGTTTTTGGAAATGAGCTTTAGCGGTGTGTTGAGTGGGCTACACCGTCCCCCGTAAAAAGGGACATTCTTGTAGTTTACTGTTGTTAATGTTGTTGTTGTGTTACTCTATGGTGTGTGTGTGTTATTTGTGTTATTGTGTGTCGGGGAGTGGACAGAGGCGGCGCAGGAATGTTTTGGTGCTACAGGGGGGCTAAGTGAAGGGGGTGTTTTACCTATGGTTGCAACAGTGTCATACGGCAGGCCTTTGGGCTCAAAACCTGTCGGAATCTCCGTGTTGACGCTTATGACATAATTTCGTGTTAACATGCAAAATATTATGAAAGGCCATTGGGCACAAAACGTTTAAACATGCACGTTAACATGTTAATAAAATTTTGCACGTTAACAAGTCAAATTTAGTTGTGATAACGTAACAAAAAAAAAAAAACATGTTGGCTTCTCCTTAAAGGGGATGTTACTCTTACGTCATTTACCCTGTCTGATGAGGTCGGCTCTGCCTAATAATCCAAATGAAGCAAAGGGGCTACGAACACATAGGCTTTATGTTTTGTTGTTGGTTGTAATGTGTGCAGTAATTTCTATTATGAATATTTATGTATGTCCGGATTTGAGGCATCCTATTGGGAAAGACCTTAAAAAAACGTGTAAACGTTTTTTTTTTAGTTACGTTATCACAACTAAATTTTATGTGTTAACGCAGAAAATTTTATTAACGTGTTAATGTGCATGTTTAAACATGTTTTGAGCCCAAAGGCCTTCCATAGATATTTATTGTGCTAACACGTTTTAACATTACAAATATTTATGTGTTAACAGAGTATTTCGCAAACATGTAACATTAGGCTAGCTAGCTACATAACTCAGCTCACTGTTGGAGCTCAGCTAGCTTGTTAGCTTCAGTGTCAGCTGGTTTCGAGTTTCCGAAAATGACTGAGGAGAGTCTGAAGTAGTGAAACAGTCGTAATTAAAGAGCTGCCAAGGTGACAGATTCCCGCAGGTGTTGTAGGACATCTAACTTTTACTACAACTAACGCTATATGCAGTTAGCAGGTCTGCAAGGCCTCTGAGTGGACCAAGGCTTTAACTTCATACAAACCAAACTCTCTGTACCTCCTACCCATGGTGCCTAGCTCAGAAACCAACGCTCGCAAATCGTTCAAGATAATTTTATAGCTTAACTTTTTTTTTTTGATTTTATACCAAAAAATCGGAATGTTTTCTGACAGTGCCGGGCTTGTGCAGGGCACATGCATGAACCAGTATAGAAGAGCCATGATAACGTAGACAGCCTAGAAGTTGGAAGAATTATTGAGGTGGGTAGTGGCAATGTCTCTTTAGTGTTCACCTACAATACACACAGACTCCACCAGGATAAAACCAGCAGAGCTGCAGGGCTGTGACCTAACAGGTACTTATCAGGTTCAATCAAGTTCACATAACAAACAAACCACCTGCAGAAACACGTTTTGGTTATGAAAAATGCAGATGTCTTCGGCAGATAAACACAGGTTTTGTCATGGGGTGTTGGCTGATTAGATCACTGATCCAGGATCATCTCACCAGTTCGTATAAGTCTATTCAGTGTAGTATAACAGGTTCAAACTGACACCAGAACAGCTTTATCAATCTGACACTGGATAAATGTGGGTCATGGTTTAATATCAAACCAGTTTGAGTAGCTTTGTAACTGAGTAACGTCTGGCAGCAACAGGGAACCAAGTTCCTTCAGTAGTCAGTTTATTGTTTTTAATGGCTGAACATGTGTTGTTACTTAGCTAAGTTCTATAAGTTCTCAAGTTCTGGTGACTATAAGAAGCCAACCGGTCCCAAAAGAGGGCTTATCTTGTTAAATGTTGCGTTGGTTTAACAAAGATAGCTACGTGTATTGTTCCAGGTTTTGGTTTACTGTTTACTGATATAGATAGCTGGTTTTAACATAGTAGTTGGCTAAAAGAGTTTTCCGATTAGATTCAGATAAGACAGAACCATGTAGCTAGTTACTTTTTTAAAATATAGGCTATATAGCTAGTTTAGCTTGCTGTTATAGTTTAGTTAGGCTAGCTTGTTAGCCTTATTGCAGTCTAGCATAAAGTTCTCGAAGATGACCAAAAGAAGTCTGAAGTATAGAGACAATTAAGTTGAACAACTGCCAGAGTGACAGATTCACATTTATACAACAGGACAACTATCTGAGTTTTACTATAACTGTTAACAGCTGCTACAGTGTGAGGCTTTTTCCGGCCTGCGTTTGGACCAAGGCTGCTAAGGCTTTAACTTTACCCAAACGAAACTCTACGTACCTCCTACTCATGGCTGTAGTTCAGAAACGATGGCTCATAAAATGTTTATAGCTGTGTTAGCTATATTGTAAAAATATCAAAATGTTTGCCGAAAGTACCTGGTTGAAACTGGACACATGTGCAAACTATCGTAAAAGTAACAAGTCACATCCCAAACAGTCACTCCAAACTTCCTGCTACCCCGCCTCGCTCCGTATATATATATATATATATATATATATAAAGCTACGTTGATTCCATATTCTCCATCTTGACTCCAGGCTTTAGGCTTTTTACTTCATATTTCTATTTCATTTTTCTGTTTTTATAAGTTATAAAAAGATAAAAATATATCCTTTTTTCCTGGGAAAGTGAATATAATGAACTTTTAAAACTCATTTAATGTACACAATTGAACCACATCACTGTACTTTTGAGGATGTATTTACATTGTTTATTCCTTGGTGAACAAAGGTGTATTTATTCAGCACCTCATTTTTGACAGGATACAACAGACAGTTCTGTTAATGTTTACCTTAAAATGAATAATACTTAACAAGTAAATATATGGCCATGTATGGAATGAAGTTACTCCATATGAACACCAATACAGAGCATTCACTCCTTCTCCTATGGCTGTCTTCGTTTGTGTTCACTGTAGCTTCACATCACTCACTTATTGCAATTTCTTGAGTTGTAACAGAAGTGCAGTTGCTGTGGTTGGAGCAGTGTACAGCAGTGCTTAGCCAACCAGCTGAACTAGCAGCTACCTCTGCTGTTTTTATGTGTACCAGCATTATGTGATTATTAGGTAGCTATGCTACAAAGCACATATGAATCAGCCTAACTTGATTTCATCAGTCTGACCTCCACCTACTGTTATACATAAGCATACTTAGAGACAAATGACTGAACGAAAGAGTGAAGGTGTAAAATGAGTTAATGTTTATAAACATGGTCAGTACTTTATTCAACTTGAATAAAGTGATGTCCTCATAGGGAAAGAAATAGTTTTGCAAAACATGAAATTTCTACTTTTCACGTTCATCAGCCAGCTCGTTTGTTTCAGCGCTGGAGCTACAAGGCTAACAAAGTAGGTGCTCATTGTCTTTTCTCAAGTCTTTTCCATAAATATCTGCCCAAAACTTCTCTCAAACTGCGTCCAGGTCTTTATTAAGGTCACTCAGACTTATGTAATATTAAAAATAAACAAAAGTGCAGTGTGTAATTGAAAGCTGTGGGCAGCCATTTAGACAACAGGTGTTCTGCAAATTCCGCCTGTTAATCTTAAATTGAATATTGCTGTTGTCAGAAGAAAACCTCGTATTTCCATTTTTGTTTTTCAGTTTTTGACAAAATTTGAAAATGTCTGTTACCCTTTACAATGTCTGTAAACTTCATGATGAATGGACTAAAAGAAATGACCTAAAATGACTTTAGACGTCTTGTTCCATTGACTTACATTAAAAGTAAAGAAGGTTTTTTTCCTTCTCCTGTAAAGTTACCACTTTGGAGATACAAGGTTATATATATATTTAAAAAATAAAAACAACAAGTTTTTTAGTTGTTTCATTTGAAACGTATACAGTAAGGCCTAAACCACATTGACAAGTCTTCATGACCTGGATGAGAATAAACTGTATATATGGAAAGTTCTGGATGACTGTTGACGTCTAGAGGTTGTTAGCAACGTTACATAGAAGCTAAATTTGGGCACCAACCGTGTTGCCTGATCACCTACACCTTGGTTAAATGGACATTTGTGTGAATTTTAGTGCAAGACGAAAGTTTAGCCTGTTAAGTTTCTAGAATTTATAATAAAAGTTTTGTGAAATTTATTTCACTCTGGTTGCACGGTGGAAGTAGAGGAGTATTTGCAGGCAGGTGACGTAAACTAACCACACTCCTGAGGCAGAACAAACCTTAGCTACATGTTATCAAAGACAAAAGAACTGGGTGAAAAGTGGGTAGAGTGTGTCTACAGCACAGGGCTGAGCTGGGTAAAGTCCACGGCGGTGAAAGTGCTGCTCCTGCAGCCGGTCAGTACTTCTGTCCGTATTGTCACTGTGTACTGATACTGCAAAAGTGGAGAGAAAAGACAGTGAAGGCCCAATTTAGACTTTTACATGAGGACTACACTGAACAGTTGCCAGTGAAAACTGGAATGATAGTTGATATAAATATCGCTGTTGTCAGACTAAAACCTTGTATTTCCAAAATGGTAACTTTACAGGAGAAGGAAAAAACCTACTTTACTTTTAATACAAGTCAGTGGAATCAGAATTTTTTCCAAGTCATTTTGGGTTGTTCCTTTTGGTCCATTGATCATGAAATTTATGTACAATATAGACAACAGATGTTTTCAGATTATGTCAAAAACTGAAAAATACAAGGTTTTCTTTCTTCTACAACACTACAGCACAGAATATTCTCAGTGGATGATTCTTATACAAACAAGTTTTGTCCTTAATAAGTGTTGCAAACAGTTTGTGGTCTTCTTCTCTTCCATGTAGGATGTTAAACGTACCTCAGAATCTCCAGGATGCCTTTTTCTGTGGTTACAAACTTGCATCAACCCTGAAACCACAGAAAGAGAGTTCTAATCAAGCAAGCAGAAATAAGGCCTAGTAAGGCCTCGTCCACCACACGCATACCCAGGGAAATAAACCTAAAGCATTTACTCACCGACACAGCAACTGAATGAAAGCGGGTAGGAGTCAGTTGGCATATTTTACTACTGTCTGTAATAGTGCATTCATACCAGCTAAGCTTCAGAGAGTGGAATAATAAACTCACCGATGGCCACAGCCAGCAAAATGCAGCACAACATAGCAGACGTGATGACCAGCAATGGCATCTCATGATGTGTCCACTGGGGCGTCTGTTGTGTTGTGTGAGGTGGGGGATTGGTTGGTTCTATGAAAGCAAAATTACACCTTACCAAAAGTCTACCTCCAGTTTACTTTGGGTAAATATAATATCACTGATAGGAGTTCTGAATTCTGGGTATTCACTATTTCATCCAATTTCAAAGCGCCATATTTTTACAACCGTGAGGCATCTAGGAACCAATCACATACCAATTGAAAGAGGGGGACATAGAGTTTCTGACTGTCACCAGATGATGGCTCCCTTCAGTCTGAGAGGAGATGTGACCCCTGGGCAGAAAGCGTTCTGCGTTCTCCACTTCAATAAGAGTAAATCCGTCATAACTGTGCAGTGTGATTTTCGTGGGCAGTGAAGCTCCAACAGCTCCACAGGTTCCACAACACTGAATGTTCTTCGAAATTGCACTGAAGGAGCCGTGAGTGCAGCGACACCCGACATGCTCAATGGAGTGTGGGATGAATTTGACTATTGCTACGTTCACACTATAAGCCTTGTTGCTCAAATCTGATTTTTCGCTCAAATCTGATCTCTCTGACAGGATGGTTCACACTCGTTTAGGTAAGTGATTGAAATCTGTCATTAATGTGATGAACCCGCGTCCTGAAATGACCCTCATGCGCTCATTCTACTCAGTAACGTCATGTGAATGAATCACGTTCATCATCAGCACAAACTAACGAGCAGAACGAGCTTCGCTGAGAAGGTAATTAACTCTGATCAGCTCTCAGCTTCATTATTAGAGTGAGACGAAGGAGAAAAGGGTGAGATATGTTGCTTTTCCACCGTTTACAGGCTTTAGCTTCTGTTCAGCGCTGCTGCCATGGTAACGCTGAATGATGGCCACGCGCAGTGAAAAAAAAAAACACATGAATTCCGATCTGAGTGTCACATTAAGGTCGCATGGCCATGAATCGGATACGTATCTGATCTAGGACCACATATGAAAGTGGCTCAGGTCGGACTTGAAAAGATCAGATTCACGTGTCCAACCAGCCCTGAGAGCATCAGATCTGAGTCACTTTAGGGCAAAAAAACGGATTTGTGACACTTCAGCCTGGTAATGTGAACGAAGCCTATGGTGTTGATGTTGTCTGTACAGCTGGAGGAGGTTCATATTAATCACTTGTAAAATTACATAATAAACTTTATGCTCATTTAAACCATTTACAGTTTACTGTATTTTTCTGTAATGATTTACAAGTGAAATAAATCATTTTGAAATCGGATGAATCTTTTTTAATCACCCAGTACTTTGGCCAAAATAACTAATATAACCATGGCTACGTCTGGTGTAAATATGCCTACTTGCATTCTGCAGTGATGCCACAGCGGTCTTGAGCAAGATATTCTGGTTTAAAGGCTTTGAAAACCCCATTCTGATTATGTGTCTTGAAGTTGGTAGGAAATTTTAAATAAAAGGACAGCTCTGTTTTTCCCAGCTGACACTAGAAGATAGCTAACGTTAGCCAATTAGCAACTGTGTGACTGTGGTAATGGTCTTCAAATCATCACTACAATGGAGAGAACAGATTTTTCATCAGATGAGGAGGACAACAAGCTAAGAGCTAATGTTAGCAAGCTACTTAGCTGTCTAGATATCTCAGTTTGGCTTTTTTGTCTGTCTGAAAGGGTAAAAAATGAGTAAAAAAGATGAGTAAAGATTGACTCGCCAAGAAGTTACACCGATGCTAGCGATATAAAACTGTGGATTCTGTCAAACTTATGAGGCTGAGGGATACAATGTTGAGCTACAGACTACTGCCATAGATAAACATTCCTAGATGCCCTGTTGTCTGTTGTTCTCTATGTGAGTTGGAGTTGGATGTTGGAGAGGTCAAGATCCGCTTGTGAACAAATTCACTTGTATTAAGAGACGAAGAGTCTCAGGATTAAATCAGCCACAACTTCCTTATTACTCAACTGATTTCCACCAAATCTGTTTAGTTATAATCCTCAGACACAGATTAATCTAGGCTGCTCTGCTCTCGGGAGCTTTTATTACTTTAATAACTGATCGTGATAATTAGCCGTCCAGACCAGCAGGAAAGTATTCAGTCTGTACCTGACATTAAAAACCGAGTTTAGTGTGAGAAAAAACACAAACTCACACATCAGCAGATCCATCAATGTGTGAATCACTTCTAATCTTAATACATAAAAAAAAAACACAGTAAGAAGGACGAAGCTACAGTTAGCTTCTTATTTGCCAGTTTCTTGTTCGAATTTTCCCGTTCCACCTTAAATGGTGTAGCCATTACTTTCTGGTACCTGAAGCTGCACCATTTAAGGTGGAATGGGAAAATCGAACAAGAAGCTGGCGAATAAGAAGCTAACTTCAGCTTCGTGTAAGAAGGTGCTAACATTAATCTATTATGAACATCTACACGGATTAATTAATGCTATAACTTACCCAGCTACACAGCTTTAACCACCACTGTAAATAAATAACTACTACATAAAGTTAAGATCCTGAATAGACTATGAAATGAAATAAGCTTAATATAAAACCAGAGGAAAAACAATCACATCAACAGGTTCTCTGTGCTTCACCAACCACACGACCATATCTACATAAACACCACACAAACAATACACATCACACAGACATGAGTGTGGATCACTGCGTTCCCTCCGTTACATAATCCTATCCCACTTTCTGAGTCAATATTCTTGAAATAGTGTAATTTTGGACAGTATCTTTCTTAAACTGCCGCTCTGTAATGGTACTGAATGCAGTCCAGCAGCAATGTTGACCGCCCCAAAATGGCAGAATGCCCCTTTAATGCAGATACAATGGCATGTGTGAAACAATTTACATTAAATTTTGCAAGAAGGGTTTAATATAATGAGCATGTACAGGTAAAGGAGAACTTACCCATGATGTACAGCCTGATGCCCTTTCTGAACATTAGATCACCTGTTTCTACACAGTAGAATATTCCTAATTCATTCTTTGTTATATTCTGAATGGCCAAATGAAGCTTTTCTTGTAAGGAATACTTCACTTCGAAAGTATGATTGTAGAAATAGGGAACTGAGTTTCTATAAAATGACCGTAAGATGGGTTTCGGTGGACTTGGATACTGTTGTATGAACCAGTAAATCTCTTTTACAGCCAGAAGGTCACAGTTTAAGGACACATTTTGTCCCAAGTCAACCAGCATGTCTGTTAAATTATGAGCTGGTTGACACCACACGAAGAGACCTGGGGAGAAAATACACACAAATAAATAACAGTAATTACAAACCGAATGTGAAATAAAAATAAAAAGTGTAGTTTTTTCTGCTCATTGTTGTGGCAAAGTCTGACATAACATGATTGAGTTTCATTTTTGAAAAGACCAGCCCACTGCAGTCGATTTGTTGACGAATGTCCTTGTACAGAATTGTGCACATTTATCTATTTATCAAGACCACCCCCCCTTCAAAAAGAAGGCCTACCACTTTCCACTACTTCACCCAACCTCATGAAATCAAGTTTGATGAATAAAAGCAGCAATAGTCTGATCAAAATGATTACAGGAGTCACAAAAATCAAGAAGTATCTGCACTCATGGTTCACAGGCTTTAAAATATATTGTTGTTGTCGGAAGAAAACCTTGTATCTCCAAAATGGTAACTTTACAGGAGAAGGAAAAAACATACTTTACTTTTAATGTAAGTCAATGGAACCAGACGTCTTTCCAAGTCATTTTTGGCCATTTCTTTTGGTCCATTCATCATGACAATTTACACACAATGTAAAGAACAACAGACATTTTCAAATTATGTCAAAAACTGAAAAATTACAAAAATGGAGATACAAGGTTTTCTTCTGACACCAACGATATTTTAAATATTTAACAAAAAACAGCAGTTGGTAAAGTTTTGCTGGAGGCTTCATCGGGTAAGTCACAATACGTGTCCTCATAGACTATTGACTATTGCATCATAGTCATTTCAGTGGAGAGCTTTGCTGGATCTATGCGGTACAATCTCACCATGCGGCAAAAAAGTTCAGTAGATTCTATTATGCAAATGAGTCTAGCTGCTCATTGCATTTGGCCAAGCAAATAAAGCAAGACTGGTCTTCGTCATAAACGCCACAGACATTAAACTGCAGTAGAGAAGGACAACAACGAGTCTCTCGTGTAAATCCACAGCAGTTTTCACAATAATGAAAATTCCTTCTTTGACCTCAAGTTGAAGAGGGCGTAATTGGCCTTGCTCTTTCAGGGGGGGTGGGATGGTCTCCTCTCTACCCTTTTCACTCAAAACGATCCTAGCCAATGTGGCTGTATTTGGCTGACGTAACAGAATTAGCAGTTTGCGTTAATGTTACATTAGCAGCAGTTCAAAAGAGTGGTGGCACTTCAGGTGTCGCAGAAGAAGCACATGCTAGTCTTCACCCTCCCAGCTTGGTAGCATCGTCTGATAAAGGGAAACTTAGCTAGAGGGAGGACTAAGGCTTTGTTCACACAGCAGGTAAAAGTGGCCCAAATCCGATCTTTTTCTTCATATGTGACACAGATGTGTGTCTGAGTGTCAGTGTGAACAGATAAACACACTGAATCTGACATTTTTAATTCTGATTTGAGACGCTTTCATATGTGATACTGAAATCCGATATGTATTCGATCTGTGGCGATGAGACTCAGTCTGAACAGACAGACCGGAATTCATGCGATTTTTATGTCAATCCAACTTGACACTCGTCATAATTTTGCGCTGCTGAGACTCATAAACACTTAGACTGATATTTCTGTACAAAATTTATTATATACTCATCCAAGTATATAAGAGATTTCTAAAGAAATGGCTGAACGCGGCCGCAGGAGAGCGAGGCTGCAGCGTCAAAGAACAGTTAAAAGTCTGAAAGCAAAGTTTAAAGAATCTGAGGTCACGAACCAAAGAAGTGACCGCGCCCTTTTTACGGTGAGCTGAACACATTCTGGGTGATGAGCCCAGCTGTCAGTCAGTGAAGCTTCATGATGGCTCCTGTGATGCTGGTGAAGATGAAGCTGATCCTCCGGGAGCGACTGGCGTTCGCTGGCAGTCGTGATTGTTTACCTCTGGATGAGCCCTGATGCTCTGTTGTTTTCCTCATGCGGGGCAGTTTAGGAGCTGATCTGTTCAGACTATGTTGCATACAGATCACATTTAAAAGATAATGTGAACAGCCAAACCAAAAAATCTGATTTGGTAAGAAAATCAGATTTGGGCCACTTTTACCTGCTGTGTGAACATAACCTAAAACTAAAAAAAAATATACATTTTAAAATCCTGAACGCTACCTACCTTTTTATATATGATTTTGTCTTTTTGTTCTTTGGCCCTAAGACAAAACAGTTGGACACCCCTGCTCTAAAGCCTAGCTCACCCAGACGCTCGCAAAGAGCTAAAAGCAAAAAGAAAAGACAGAAATCACAGGAAATGATAAGAAGCGGCTGTTTGTTCTAGTGCTCACATGAGCACTTATGTAATCAAGTCTTTAACTAGTTGTGAAACGGCACAGTTGGGTTGATGAAATGCGAATCGTGACCTTTTCCTGTGCTTTTCACACTGATCAGACTCGTTCTGCTTTTCTTCAACCATGAATATTGGGAGGTGGGGATTCTGGTAGCCTGTAATGACTATGAAGTGCAAACAGAACTGGATTCAACACATTTTCAAAGCCTTCACCAAGACTGAAGGTAAGACAGGTAAACCCAGGTTCATAAAATGAAGCACAAAAAGAGAATGAAGTGATGAAATTTGACCCACTTTTTTTCCTTTTTGTCTCAGATTGTGATAAAAATGTCAAATCGTTCAGCCTTTATCTTCTCCAGTGCGCTTGCTAAGCCGTTTGAGATGAGTTTTCATTGGAAAGCAGCAGCACTGTCACTTCCGTGAAAAGACGAAAGAAGGAAAAATTAAGTTGTACTCACAAACGTAGAGTTCCACAGTTTTCATATTCCTGTGAGGTAGAGATAAGGACTGTGTCTTTAAGAGCAAACTGGCTAAATCTGCTTCTAAAAAAAACAGATCTATTGCTAAGTTTCAAAGGTAGGACTGAATCTTAGCAAGAATGTGGTCAGTTTTTACTTCCCCTATAACACCTAGCTTGGTGTCACCTCTCACGGGCCGTGCACAGGAAATGCTTCGGCCAATGCTTAATACTAGTTAAAGAAACAGACAAAAGTTCTTTGATTATTTTGCAGACCTGGTGAAGGTGCAACACCATTTGACTGTTTACAACAACAGGTTATAGCATCAGCCTTGGGTAGGATACTTATAAATGGTTTACTCAGCATTAGGAAAGCGAAACAGAGAGTGGATATCCTTCAATCCTGAATTATATTTAAAACTATAACAGAATCCACCTGTTTATAGCGGCAAAGGTGCCATCGTGTCAGAGGCTACGTTGACATTACAAGCCTTGTTGCTAAAATCTGATTTTTTGCTCAAATCCGATCTCTCTGGCACGATGGTTCACACTCGTTTAGGTAAGTGACTCAAATCTGTCATTGATGTGACGAACCGGCCTGAAATGACCCTCATGCGCACATCCTACTCAGTAACGTCACGTGAATGAATCGCGTTCATCATCAGCACAAACTAACGAGCAGAACGAGCTTCGCTGAGAAGATAATTATTGTAAGTTGTACTGACTCCACACACCCCGTCTCGTCTCCAGGCTTTTTATCTTATTGTTCTGTTTTAAAACCTTCGGTTATCAGACCTTAAAACCACTGTTGTACCTTTGAGGGAACGTTTACACTGTTTGTGCTTTGATGAACAAAAAATGTACCTGAACAGAACCTTTATTTCTAACAGGGTAACTGGTTTCAGTCTGGTTTCAACTGATCATGTGATCTCCTGTTGTGTTGGAATGAAAACCTGCGGCTGCCCTTTGAAGATGAAACTGGACACCCCTGTCCTAAGAGGAGGGTCACTAAAGGTTGAAGAAGGCCAGGTGAATGGTTTAAACAGCACTTGCCTGAGATGTAACCTGGTGTCATTGCTGAACTGCAGCAGTGTGTAAAGACCTACATCTCTGCTGTAAGTGTTCTGTATGCGCAGCCATTACAGACCACAGTGTATCTTGGTTTGAGGCTGATGTTGAAACAGAAAGCTTGCAAAGAAGCGCTAAAGAAAGCCCACAGATGACATCCTCTCTTCAAGAATAATGTTTCTCAATGTAAAATAGCAAAGAACCTTTGCTTTTCATCATCTACGGTACAGAATATCATTAAAAGACTTTTTTGGAATGTGTTACATGAAATTCTATCCTGAAATATTTTTACACAGTGGCCTTTTTTTATTATAACACCGTTTTACATCCTAAACTGCAAATTAGATATCATGGTTCAATAAAACTGTCATGACAGTCAAAATTTGAAGTAGAAAACAAAAAAAAACAAAAAAAACAAAAACAAACATGATCCTATCTGAGCTTGATCACCTTACATACTAGCATGTTTGTATTATTGAGTGGTTTGAGCTAAAGCACAATTCAGATGTTATTCAGTCAGTGTGGGACAACAAAGAGATCTTATCTAGCTTTGATCTGAGAGACAGTAGATCTGCAGATCCAGACTAACCGGATACCAGTTGTGGTCAAATGTGAGCACTAACTCATGACTGCACGACAAACACAGTCAACAGATTATCAGAGCGTGAAAACAACGGTAACCCGACAGGAAATTCAGCTTTCAGAAGATGAGCGGCACTAACTTCCTCCGACCAGAGTGCACATGCTGTTCTACATTTATGTTTGGAGCAACAAGAACAAGCGTCTCACGCTGCTGGCTGAACTGCGCTGCTCAAGGTTCGTACATTTTACTATCAAATTAATCTCTTTTTCCAACAAGTTAGTGATCAGAGTGTAGATCAGTGATCTTTGCTGTACTTTTCACTCTCTGTCTGTTACAGTTACAGTAAAAAATACAGGACACATAAACTACACTTTTATGTTTATCAGTTTATCGAAGTACAGAGTAGTGAAACTTCGCTTTGTATCTGTTATCTCTGCTACAGATGAATGAATCAGCCATTTATTTTAAACTGTATCTTCACAATACAGAGCATTTTTACAACTTTTGAAAGCATGTAGTATTGAAACTCTGCTTTGCCTTTGTTTGCTCTCTTTTAGGCAGATCTTGTGTGATCATATTGTTTGATTTGACAAGTTTACGTTCACTAAAGTTAACTTCCATGCAGAGATGGGCGATATGGCAAAAACAGAATATTGCGATACGTTTTCTTGATACAATTTCTCACAATGTGCAACGATATATATGTGTATATCTGACATCCGATAGGTTGGAAGAGACAAAATAGTGCCACATTAAAAATACTAATAAAAACTATAAATACAACGCATACTGTTCTGTACTCAACCCAAATTAAACAGGACTAATGAGGCTCTCTTTGTTCACACATGCAGTTGGGAAGTGTTTCTGAGTTCTGATGATACCCACGATATACTCACAAAAGCATATTATGCCACATTTTCATGTAATTTATCACGATAACGATAAATATTGTCAGATTGCCCAGCCATACTGAGAATTTAATGATCTGTAAACTCATTTTCGATGACATTTTATATCTTAAATAAATAGGCTTTATGTTGTGTTGCCATACTTTGTCATGAATACCAGGGGTAGAACAGTACAATCAGCCCGTGATTTGGTATTCTCACGATAATTTCAACAAAAATCATATTATGAAGAATGATTAGTTTAATGAATGCTGTTTCAGCTTCCTAATGACACTTGCCAGGAGCTGGCAGGTGTTAAGTGGTGCTGACTGAGAACTTTGGTGTGCAAACATTGACATCCATTCTCCGCACTGTCACAGCTTTGCATTATGATATCACAATGCATTATATCCCTATGAAATAGTACATATAATAAAAACACTGGAGATCTTAGTTCACTGGAGGCAATAAAGTAGCACAAAGCTTCTTCAATATTCAGTAATGACATAAAATAATTCAGAATTCATAAGGTTGGGCCATCATCGTACTGGACGCTCTCTAAAAGTTACCTAAGATTATCTTCTTACTACAATAACCCTCGATGTTTAGAGCAGATCACTGCTGTCGGATCAAAACCTTGTGTCTCCAAAATGGTAACTTTACAGGAGAAGGAAAAAACACTTTACTTTTATTGTAAGTCAATGGAACCAGACTTTTTACAGTCATTTTGGATCACTTCTTTTAGTCCATTCATCATGAAATTTGCAGACAATGTAAAGGACAACAGGCATTTTCAAATAATGTCAAAAACTGAAAAACTGGAAAAATGGAGATATGAGGTTTTCTTTCAACAGCAGAGATATATTTATGGCCTCTTTCTGAACTTCAGCACCTTCTTTTTCTTTAAAGAACGCAGCCACAACAAACAGTTTTCTCTTCAATCGACATTTCCTCTGTTGTGTGCAGGAAATCAGCCACAAAACACACGCAGGTCACACAAAGCTTTATTCTGAAATGATCAGCGATGCGGTCTGTACATCTTCAGATCAAGCATTTGTTCCATTTCGTTCAGTATGTTCATCGTTTTATTTAGTGCAAAGCTAAAGGCCAGAGCGCACCAAGCGGACAGACACCAACAAACAGCACGAGGACTGTTTGTTTGGTGTGCCATCCCTGAGTGCTGGGAGAATCCAGAATGTTCTCTCTTCTTTCATTCTGGTTCATCAATTCTTTTTATAAACAATGTAAAGTCGGCTGCAAACATTACACTGTCTGTTCTGTGTGCTCTGGCCTTTAAGAAAGAATGGTCACAAATACAGACGCACAGCGAGTTCTTTGGTTTGGATCAAAACATACAGTCCTCAAATGGCAAACATGTCCAGCCTTAGTTACTGTCAACTATAACAAAAATTCTGCTGAGACTTCTGCTTAAGGAAAGTGGTTTAGAGATGTTATCCTTATTATGAAAGGTTACCTCAGCGACTTTCAAGCGGAGTGAGTCATTTTTCCTTCATTTGCGTAGCAAAGCTTTGATTCTTCACTGTATAAGGTTATATAATATATAATGTAGTATAATATACATTTTCTTAAATTTCAAGAGACTTTGTTTTTGAATTTTCAGAGAAATATGAGCGACTGGGTTTTCATCGTTTTTGTTTTTTAAATACCTCAAAAATGTGCACACACAGATCACCATGCCTAAAACCTTCTAGCACAAGAACATATCGTCAACTAGACAGTAGAACAAAATAAGACAGTCTCCAAAATAGTAACTTTATAGGAGAAGGCAAAAACGTTCCTAACTTTTAATGTAATTTAATGTAAAAATGATTTTATTTGAAGCCATTTTGGAGCATTTCTATTGGTCCAATCATCATGAAATTTTCACATGATATAAAGGGCAGCTGCCAGGTTCAAATGACGTAGAAGAATAAGAATCGTCAAAATGGAGATATATGTTTTTCTTTGGACAGCGACGACGTAAGAATAAGAATATATCACTGCTCCATTTTTGCCGTTTTTTATTTTTTGACATTATTTGAAAATGACTGTTACCCTTAACATTATATGTAAATTTCATGATGAATGAACCAAAGTAAACAGCCCAAAATGACTTGGAAAAAATTCTGGTTCCATTGAATTACATTAAGAGTACAGTAGATTTTTTCCTTCTCCTGTAAAGTTACCATTTTGGAGATACGAGGTTTTGTTCCGACAGCAGCGAAATGAAACATGAATACGTTTAATCAGCCAGCGTTTCATTTGTTTTCAAAACTTAACAATCTAACAATTACAATGAAGGAATGGACAATATTTCTGACATGTAACTGAATTAACACATTTGAAATAAAAAAAATTATTGTAATGCAACTTCAAATGATCAAAAATGGCTGAAATTTTGGATAGTGTTTTGTATGAACACACGTTTTGCCCAAACTTGATTACATTATATTCAAATAAACCAATGATAAACAATCTGAAAAGTGGCCAAATATTGTCTTCATAGGAACACATAGGAACTCTTTTACACATAAAGAATGAGAGGCTTGAATTAGTGATTGCACTGGTTCAATACCACATATTGGCATCAGGCTAATATCTGCAGAAATTGCTGGATAATATATCAGAGCCTTAAGTGCTTGACTGTAGTCCCTCAATTGAAAATAGCTCATTTTAAAAGTGTAAATAAAAAAATATATCTGATTGGTATCAGTATCAGGCGATACTTGAGGTTTCAATATATAGAGTGCACAAAAATAATACGTCCATTATTGGATTTCTGCAGTTATCAGAATGTAAACTGCAGACTCCAATTTCTTAAACCAGACTAAGGCCGTTATCAGACTTCAAGGAATCCAAAATAGAGACTTGGATTTTAGGTAGTAATCAAGTTTTTCAGCACATACACACCCACCAGCCACTTCATTCAGTACACCTCCTTGTTTCTACACTCACTGTCCACTTTATCAGCTCCACTGACTGTATAGTTTCACTCTGCAGTTCTACAGTTACAGACTGTAGTCCATCTGTTTCTCTGCATACTTTGTTACCCTGTTCTTCAGTGGTCAGGACCCCCATGGACCCTCACAGAGCAGGCACTATTTGGGTGGTGGGTCATTCTTAGTAGTGACACTGACGTTGTTGTGGTGGTAATGCTCATGGTTCACTCTGTTAAACACTACAGCTAGGTTTACCAGATAGGAGTGTATAATGCTCTGTGGTGGTCCTGTGGGGGTCCTGACCATTGAAGAACAGGGTAACAAAGTATGCAGAGAAACAGATGGACTACAGTCTGTAACTGTAGAACTACAGTGCTCCTATATGGTCAGTGGAGCTGATAAAATGACGACCTGATCACTTGGTTTCCAGTCCATTTTCGCACATCCTAACGCATCAGAGTGGCAGGTCAGTCAGGAGTACCTGAAATACCAAGATATCTTCAAAGTTGCAACTGAGGAACTGATGATGCATTCCAGTTTATATGTCCCTTTTGGAACAAACACAAATATATAAATAAATAGTTAAATAACAGTGCAAACAAAGTGTACACAAAAGAGCTCTGCAGTCTAATATTAGTGCAGCGATATATATGATGCTTTAAAATCAGTATTGGTTCTTCTAAGCCCTAATGCAGAAATTAAAACCCTTCATTAAAGCTGCTAAGGCTGAGCACAGCGGGGTGGAGACGTATTTATAAATCACTGCAAACTGGATGAGCTGATCTGAGAGCAGCACTGCTTTTAGAACACAGTGGCTATTCTAGACGTGCATTACTAAAAACAAACTATGTACACAGGAAAGAGTTCTGAAGTGTTAGTTTCCTCTGCGTTCTACAGCGATGTTGGTACGTAAAGCCTGCCTACATTATCATCATCATGCTCTCTGAAACCTGCCAGACTAACTGACCGCTACACTACCAAGGACACTGTACAATTTCTTACATTTCGCCAGAGATATGAGTTCAGCTTCGGCTTAACCAGGGCGGCAAATTAATTACTCAGTCCACCTCCCGGTGTCTGGGGAAAGCCAGTTTTACTAGCCATGTATCCTTTGCATCAGGGGCGTCCAAACTTTTTTCAAAAAGGGCCAGATTAAAATACCCGAGGGCCGACATATTATTCACAAATAATTCAAAATATAAGGTTTTCAAAATATCAGCACGCAGAATCTGGGCTTTCTGTGAGCTACTGTGTTTCCTATCACTGTATAAAAGATGCAGGGGCTTCTTTTACTGTTGGATTGTTCATTCAGAGCAGTTTGGATCAATAAGCGCTTGTAATAAATAAACTGTTTAAGAGTAAGAACGCAACATGTCTGATGTATTAATCATATTCAGGTGTTTAAATATAATTTGTGAGACAAACTAAACAAACATGTAGAAATGTTTGGTTTTGTTAGTTAATGTTCTTTACATATCAAATAAACGCAGCGTAGCCCCAGTGTAGTTTTTGTTCGACCTTATAGGGTTAATATTTACTGAACTACTGAATTTGCTCTGATAAGAACTTTTCCATCTCGCCAAAATCATCAGTTTTCAGTGTTAAGTTTGAGCTTTATGTCTGTAGTCTTGACTAAATGTCATTCACTAAATAAGACTGCAGGTCTGGTCAACTGTCACCATCAGGTAAAAGGAAGAACTGCAACGTACTGGCTGGCAGACCACTTATTAAACACCCATTGGGCCCTAAGGCCGGACTTTGGACACCCCTGCTTTACATAAACTCATTCTGCCCATCCAACAACAGTATTTTTAATGTCTTTTTGCTACCTTTCATTATATAATCTCCTTTTTATGCGTTCCATTTTGACTTCTGTTCAGTTTGGAACCAGTACTGGTATCAGCTGGTCTTTAAAAGAAGAATTCCATCGCTGTTTTAAAATTCCTACATAATTCAGTGTTTAACTTAGTCATTCAAAGTGGTTTGGAATTGTTCATTGTAGAGAAACTTTTTTGTAGAGAAGGTTTCTTTGCCAGGGTAGTGATGTATGTTTACAAATACAAATGTGCCCAATTTATTTACCATCCAGAATGAACAGAGAAAAAGTTTTTTTTTATGTAATTTTGGGAAATTGGGGAAAATTTTGAGAAAAAAAGAAAACCTTTCAGCATATTCGGAACCTTTTTATATAACAGCTTTTCGTGAGGGAGCTTTTCAGATGTCTGGTTTCCATCAGTGCTCTGAAGAGTTCCTCTAGAATGGCGCAGATCACACAAAACCTCTTTGAATGACTGAATTATACAGAAATTTTGTAAAACCAGTGGAATTTCTAGCTAAATTCTAGCTATTATACCCTAATTAGGCAGAACTATCAGTGGTAACTGAAAGAGTTAGCATTGTTTGAAATAGCCAGCATGTTTTCTCATTGGCTGATCAAGATGATCACTGATGATTATTACAGTTTATGGGGCTGTGCTTTTGTTGTTGTCGACTGCTGTTGAATATCTTTAGACAGGGCAGAACTGATGGATTTTAGAAGGTTAGTACAGTAAGCAGACGGCCATCTTACATCAAGTCTTAAATCTACCTGCCAGATGTAAACATCTGCACACATTTGGGAGGAGGCTGATGTTAATTTTCCACCCTGACCATAACCTTCTCGATAACCTGCTCTCATGAAAATATATTTGCATTTCCTTCAGAACTGTGCAGCTCCATTTGGTCACTCTCTTCAAATTAGCACTGCTTTTCCGATTACATAATCTAAGCTCATCAGTCAGTAAGCCAGCAGAGATGCATTCTGGTTGCATATTTTGTGTATAAGCTCACTACTGACTGGATGGCGTCAGTATAATATTATCCTCATTTTCACTATCATTCTCATTGTCTGTGAAACTAATCTACCTCTTCAAATGGTGCGGAGGTGTAACCAACGATAGTAGTTGACCCTGCCTGCGATCTGGCTCTTTATTCTAAATAAACAGTTTCCTGCTCAGCCGTTTCTTATACTAATAACAGGCTGGTGCTGATGTGCAGGAGAGACAGGGAGACTGAGCTTTTCTTTATGTGTGAAATCGATACGAATATATAATTCTAGCACCTCCTCACCGCCCCTCATTTTAACCCCACCGCTGCCAGTAAGTGTTTAAAGTGCAGTAAAACATGAAAAAACCTACTGGAATGCCAGACCTGTAGTGAGAGAATCACACAAAGTTCTATTGCAGAAAAACAGACTGATCTTTCTGAGCTGATCTGTGGTTTACTCCAATTTAACTGTAAATTTACTTTTTCAAAATTTAGCAAAGCATTCTGTAGACTTCCTGTTCCTCTTTTAACAGATATGCTAAACAATAAGTGGACAGGGTTGGCGTAAAGGATTGTACTTCAAACAGTACAGGTTTGCCTGCAAAGCTTATGCGCACAGCAGAGAGCATCCCAGCAGAAATGCAAAGAAAAGTAAAATATGGTCTGGTCTTCTTCTGACGTCGCTGTTTCTTGAGTTACTGTCCGTTGGTGGGACTGGACGATCTGTTAAACACACACAAAAAAAGAACAAGATGCAAAACAGTTTCACAAAACTAGTGAAAGAAACAGTGAATTTGCTTGTATTGTAAGTGTGTCGAGTCAGCATGTTTCCCACTTTTTTTCTTACAGGGAAGTTAAGTGAAAGTTATCTGTTTGTGGTGACTGACCACACGATGTAGAAACAGCAGACAGAAACAAAGTTAACTCTTGCACAAGAGTCATTCTACAGAAACGTCCATTTTTGTGTCCCTAGTGTTTACAGATATATTACACTTAAAAACATGTTAGGGTTATAATTTATTTATATTTTAAAATAAAACAATAAGTTATTTTAACAGTTACACCTTCTTGAGCCTCAATTTAGCAATATTGGTTTTTAAATCAATCATATGGAATTCCAAGCCCACAGAAGAGCTCATCCTCACAGTCATGTGGAAAGGCTGAGGCCACATTTTGAGGTAAAAACATGTTTTTCTGCTATTTTAACTGTAATAATCTATACATGACTATGAAATATATGAATTAAATGACAAAGAAAATCCAAATAAATATTATAAAACATATAATGAAAGTTGTGGTCTTCAGGAGTCGTGTCACTGGTGTTGCCACGTAACAAAAAATCTCTTATTTTGAAATTAAAGTCACACTGATGACATCACTTGACTTCCTTTTACCTGTTTTCTGAGGATCTATGAAGAAAAGCACATGGTGAGTCCACTGTGTCTTTCAGTTATCAGAGATTTTCTCATTTAGCTCATGATTTCATATGAAGCTTTTAGCTGAAGTCACTGGTGTGACCGACTTTATTCTGAGGTAATTGTGAAAAAATAGAATACAAACTAATTAAGTCCCATATTTTAGTGGATTTTCCATGATTGACAACATGTGGTTTGACGCTCTGTAGCAGTTATTGTGTAAAATGCATTTTTCGTTAAAAATGTCTCTGGTGTTACCTTTACTTTGTGTAACACCAATGATGATCAGTATTACCAGTGACTCCTATGGAGAGACAGAAAAGTGGATGTTTCAGTAAAATGACCCACAAGCAAATTCGGGCTATCTCTAATGGTCTCTCTAGAGTGTGTTCTTTTGCGACGTGTGTAGCTGGAGTTGCAGAACATGATCGTTACAGATCATCTGCAGAACGATACGGGAAATCAGGTGGATGTCTTGTTATTTTTTTCTGCACATTTTAATAGCGGGGCGACTCATTTCTTTCATTTCTTGAATTCAGTGAAATTGATGAATATGCGGTGCTTTAGAATAAAGTTTTAAAAGACATAGCAAGTTAATTATCAAGCCACATTTGTTTATGTCGTCATGAACCACTGCACTTTGAACATGAAGACAAAGATGTTATGCAGGGATTATGTGGCTGGATGGTTACCTTAACTGATGGTACTATTACAGTTGTCTGCAGAGGTCTGAATACCCCCTGCTCAGATTTGTTGATTTTCTAAGTATAAATAAGTTAATACATCTTTTACAGAGCACAAACTTAAATATGTAATACTAATTGTGCCATAACTTTTACACAGGCCATATGGCTGTATGTACTGTGGAAAATATCTGTTAGACTAGTTTTGCAAGTTGTACATTCTGGTCAGATAATTCTTTAAGTTTAGTTTGGTTTTGTTAAATATATCTTGCATATATTACACCATTTAGTGGATCTTTGGAAAATCAGTTATTTGGACTACTGTATTCATTTTCACGTGATGTACTGTGATTTACTATTTCTTTAAACAAGCTACTTTATAAATACACAAAAACATAGCATGTCTTTAAATTGTTATATTTTGGTTTAAGAACTGTATTTGCAGACCTGTTGCTCCAACTGAGTAGATACAGGTGGGCGATATGGCAAGAAACTATACTGCGAAACTTCAAGAAACTTTCACGATACACAATAGGTCACAGTAGTTAATTTTTCAGACATCTGATCAGTTAGAACAGAGAAAAAAGAACTGGTAGTGCTGCATTTTCAAAAATGCTTTCAAAAACTGTGAGTACAGTGATTTTTATTCAATATTTGGCATACCCTGTTGCATTAAATCCAGTTAAACAGGACTAAATTCACTTTTTTTTTATAACAAAAAAGCAGTTGGTCAGTGTTCTACAAGTACTGACGATGTATGTTCAGAAAAGCACACTGTATAATGATGTACTTTATCATAACAACAATATATACAGTCATATTGCCCATCCCTACCACTGAGTCACTGTAAACTAAACTTTAGATTCTATGGAGAACCACAGTAAAAAAAAAATGAAAGCACAAAAAGAGCAGAGAGAGGCTGCTGCTTGTTCTACAGCAAAATCACTGACTGGTAGCTGCAGACATGGATAAAAAATTAAATCTACTGAGCCTAGTCGAGTTTTGTTAAACGTTACGCCCAGGTCTACGGCTATGAGTAAGAAGTTCATGTGACTGCTGAGTACTGAAGCAGGCTGATGGTGAGAAAGTATCCAATTTCATGTATACATTGATATTCATTATCCTTTATTCACATACAGCACTATATTAGTGAGGGAGTAGGGATCCATTCACAGCCATAGTACTGTAGCTTCAACACTTTCACTGTTAGGGAGCCATGGAAAATCAAACTAGTGGGGTTTTACTAAAAAGGCTGGAGTGTTTCTTTAGCACAACCATTTCACCACTGAACACAATCTACTACCTCTGTCAATCATTAACAGCAGCAACGACCTTTCAGACTACAAACCTAAGTAATGTTTGAAGACAACTCATACGCACCTTTAACAGTCAGCTGCACTTTTGTTTGCGCGCTGATGTTAGGAATGAAGCAGGTGTACGTTCCTCCATCAGCCGTCGTCACATTCTTGAGTCTGATGGAGAAGTTTCCTTTTGTCCACTCAGCTGGAAAACCTTCAACTCTGTTTCTGAATGATGCTTCCTGCTCATCAAACGATGCTCTGCTGTTGATGATGTCGTACACAGTGCTGGTGTCTCTGAATCTCCAGAACACAGTGATTTCACCCTGCAGGGCCTTATCACTGTTTAAACATGGTAAGGTGATGGTTTCACCTACATAAGCTTGAATGTCCTGCAAGGACACTGAAAGAGAGACACCAAAACATACAAATATAAAAACAAAAGTGTCCAGGCACAGTCTGGCTTTTAGTTGTGCTGCTTATTTCTTATGAAACCTCAGTGAAGCTCTAGTCCATTAAATATCTGTTTATTGGGGTGTAAAATGTGCTCACCTTTCTGTATGAGCAGCAGGAACACTAAGGGCCAACAGCATCTGAGGGAAAAAGTCAGAAAACAAACAGAAGAGTCTGTGAACACATCACAAACCCCAACACGTCATAAAAAACTGCCCCTGCCACAGAACATACTGCGGTTCCTGCTATGACACAGCACGCTCAGACCCATCAGATGCAAACAGCCTGCAGAAACAGGTTCTGCATAGGCTGATGATAATAACCTCATTTTGTGGTAAACATGTCAGCATCTTCTGTATGCTGTTTGGTAGGGCTGGTAGTGATGAAAACACTGTTTATTATTATTTCCTTAGGCAGCATCTGTTAACAGGAGCCAAAGTTTAGCCACTACTAGTCATGGGATCATATTGTGTTCCTATGCGAAACTAGTTAGGCAGTTTCTCCTGGTTTAAACAGCCCTCAGGCAACGAACACTGACGGGACCATTATTACACAACTGGTTTCACAACCACGTTACAAAAGGTCAAACTACAGTGAAGGCCCAGCCAAGGCCGCTGAGCAGGGTTGCCACCTCAGCCCTTTAAAACTCCTGGATGCTCAATCAGTGGCTTGATTTCTTATTCAGTTCAGTGGATGGGTAGCATTTCTCACAATGCAGTCTGAGGTAGACAGACTGAATCTCAGTCATCACACTGAGGTCACCAGCAGTGCACCATTCCCAAACAACTGTCCCAACACTGAGGGCGATCTGAACTAATCTGATTCATTCTTTGTATACAAATAGTTTGGCTGGGAAAAAGGAAGCAGTTCAAACTTCACAAGAAAAGCCAACATATGAAAATAACTGGGACAAGCAAGCAAAAACCTGGATAATCCAGGGAACTCGGACAGGTGGCAGACCTACTTAAAGCTGTTATTTAACTACATATATCGGGGTAGGGGAACTGAGAAATGGAGTCCAGCACAGTTTGGTGAACATTCCAGCTAAACCTGGCTTCATCTGAGGAGTTTAATGATTTGTGTTTGAGCAGAAAAGTCACCAAACTGCAGGAATCCGGCCCTCCAGGACTGGAGTTCCCCCCGAAATATAACGCTAAGGTTGAGGTGTCCAGCTGGTCATGGTTGTGGTGGATATACAAAGGAAAAACACTTCAGTAGCCCAAAATGGATATTAAACATATTTTATACAATCTCGAGTTACGTGAACCTGATTTTCAGGGGTCAGTAGATGGCCTTGTTCGGGCTGCTGCAAATAAACAGCTATTTTGGTAGCTAACTAGGTTAGCTAACTAGGTTAGCTAGCTAATCTACGGAAGTTTCTCAGACTAGCCAGCTAACCGCCACAACACATTTTAAAGGGCGTGACCAACAGATTGGCTATTTGTGAAGGAAATAATATGTCGTTAAATGTAAATCCTGGTTTGTTTCGTTATAGTTAGCTAAAATTAGCTGCGTTTCCCTTATTTACTGTGGTTTTTGTGAATTCTGTTAGCTCCGCTGAGGGGAATTCACAAAACAAGGCCTGATAAATACAGATAAACCTATCTCACACGAAAACCTTGTTCTTTTACCTCATACAGGGTGCTTACCTCATTTTCTCCATGTCAAATGTGTAAATTTAAACACCTTATAGTGTATAAAACAAAAATGCTGTGGTCACCAAATAGTTATTCTCTCAAACTGTTATATGGCGCATGCGCAAAATACGTCACGGAAAGCCGGACACAGAAAAAATAGATAAATTCAAATAAAAATCTCAAAAGTATCATTTTTTTGTCTTTTTCTGTGATTAATAAATTGTGTCATTTATTATGTTTTCCTTCTTCTTCCAGAGCTGCTCCTGGCTGCCTATTTTGGGTGATGGACCACTCTCATCCTAGCAGTGACCCTGACGTGTTTAAACCCAGAGGAACCCTGCTGTTCTACACTTCGTCCAGCACCACAGAACCTGCCCTGACCACCCAAACAGTGTTATATATATATATATATATATAAGTTTTACACACATTTAACACACCTGTGTCCCAAACTGTGCAGTGGTAGATGCGCTACAGTCTGTAACTGTAACGTTGGTGGACCTAAAAGGTAGATGGAGCTCATAAAGTGGACAGGGAGGAAATACAAAGTAAAAGTCTCTAATAAACTGGGCGGTCAGTGTATGACGCGTATAGAATAGCAGAATGGAGAACGTCTTTGCTTAAGAACCGTCATCTAAAGGACGTATTGAGTATTAATGTCTCCTGGGCTGAACTAATGCGGACAGAAAGAAGGTCATGCAGCACAAAGACTGTAGAAATGTGAGTGTTCTCGTTAGTCTGAATAGAAAACAGTACTTTAGGCCCAAACACAACCTGAAGAACGTCATCTCCACTGGAGAGCAGTGTGACAGGGGTGAGGAACTGAGTCCAGCAGAGGTTCCCTGCTTTAGTACACCAGCTAAACCTGGCAATTAAGAGCTGAGTTGAATCAGGTGTGTTTGAGCAGGAAAATCACCAAACTGTGCAGAAATCTGTCCCTCCAGGACCAGAGATCCCAGTCAAAGAGTACTATTATTAAGTAAGAACTTGGATGTTTCTTATTTTAACTCATTATTTATTTTAAAGTGAGTTTTCTGGTAATATCAGGAGGTCAAACACATTAAATACCTCCAATGATTTAATGAAAATCTCCATTCCAGTCAATGGCTGACCTGAGCTTAAGCCCAACAGGCCTTTTTAAACTTCCCTAAAAAATCAGTGTGCTCATACTGTCTTACTGTTGTTTAAAGAGGAACTCCATCCAAGTTTTCCAAATTCCTGCACAATTAAAATGGTTAGGATGTAAACAGAGTCATTCAGAATGGTCTGGTGTGAAGTGCTCTGTTCTAGAGAAACAGAGTCAGAATAATTCACAGTGGTGGTGATAGGAACCAGACGTCTGAAGATTCGGCTGCCTTTACACATGCGAATTTAGTTGCTTGAAACTTGAAAACATGAAACTATCGTGCAACTTACTATCTCGCAACTTACTTGAAACTCAGCTGCAACATTGCATCTCAACTTCATGAAGCAGCCCATCAAAATGTTGATAATGCATCATGTGATCATGTCAAACAACATTTCAACGTTTCAAATGACTGATTCCACTGGATCAGTGGATGAGAGAATGAAACAGAAGGTGGTTTATTGAATCGTTGAAAATGGGATCCTCCTGATTAACTTAATGCAGACTTGGTCGTTGTTTATGTTGCCAGTTTCCTGAGACATGACAAACAAACAAGAGTTTCTTGAAGCTAACTCTTCTGTAACCAGCTCACTTAACTAGCCAACTAGCGCTAACAGCTGTTTATCATAATCTGCGTAATTAGATTTGAAGGAATGAACATTATTATAGAGAGAACAATCCAGCCTACAGAGAACAGACTACAAACTCAAATGTATAGTAAAGAACCATAGATAGATATAGAGATAGATTCCAGGTATGTAGGAATAGAAAAAGTACAAAAAAGTTACAAAGGCTGCAAATATGCAAATGTAGAAATGCGTCACAGATGACTTTCATGACGCAGTGTACTAAAAAGTTTGAGGTGCTAATTTGACTAACTGGTGGAGCACTCTAATGCGTGCACCTTCTTTTTTTGAATTGCTTCAAAACATGAAAGTTGCATGAACGTTTCACCATGTAAAGCCAGCCTTAAAGCTGCTTTGTAGAAAGTTATTACATTAAAAGGTTAAGAATTTGCTGCTTGATGCCTGAGATTTTGTTTGCCAGCTTTATTTCTTTACAAAAAGTTTTTTAATTCTAAAAAAAAGGACTGTTAAAGGACCATAATCAAGAAAATCAACCTTGGGTGGTACTCAAGCATGAGCATAGATGAAAAGGGCTTATACAGTGGTGTGCAAACATTTTGGCGCCCCAGGTCAAATTACATTTAGTTGATTTTCTACAGAGAACACAATGCTACATATTTTAATACACAGTCACTGCTTATGCCTTTTTTAGGGGAGAAGTGCATTTTATGACACATTTTACATTTTGATTTTTTCTGCAGAAGTGTGATCTCTGTAGAAGATGACTGAGGGTGCCCAAACTTTTGCACTGTATACATATTGAACTTAACCCTCTGTAAGCAACAGCTTACAAAGGAAAGTTGGAAAGTTCTGGAAAACAGAAGCAGGCACCCTGTAGCTTAAGAGACAGAGCAGAGAACAACTCAGATGAGCGCAAGACAAGAGAGCTGCCACACCTCAATATCCCACAGTTCTTCAACTGAATAAACACTGCAACAGAAAAGCACATGACTCATTCGGTAACACATATAAACAGGATTACTTACCGTATTTCAGTCTCCATCAACGGGGAAAACTCTAAAGCGCCTTTCCTGCAGCTCAGCTGAACCTTCCATGATATTTGGGTTATAATCTCATACTGTTAAACTGCCAATTCATTTATCTGCAAAGTCATAAAAGAAACTAGGCTACAATGTTTTGCATATTGATAAATATTGAATAAAGTCAGGATGTCTGAGCTGTGCTTCTGCCCCAAAAGTTGAAATAAAATCACTGAATCTGAAAATTTAAGGTCCTACACACCATTTATACTCAGATATTCTGTCATTTGATTGTTGATTTTAGGAAGAAAGCAGGTGTACTTTTCCCCCATAAGGCCTCTGCACATTGCTAAGTTTGAAGGAAATGTTCCCTTTTTCCTTTCCTCATCTAGAAGACTTTCAGCTCTGTGTCTGAATGAGGCTTCCATGGCACACTCAGGTCCTCTGGGTGCAAAGGGCTTGCAGAAACATGTTCTGCATAGACTGATGACTGATGATAATCTCATTTTGTGCGTATAGCAGAGAATATACCAACATCTTCTGTCAGGGTGGATGTTGTGTGGGGGAAAAGTCATAATAAACCTGTTTATTGCAACCCCATTTCCAAAAAAGTTGGGACGTGGTGCAAAATGTAAGTGAAAATAAAATGCAATGATGAGCAAATCATGTAAACCCCATATTTATTGGAAAATAGTACAAAGACAACATATCAAATGTTGAAACGTTTTTTTTAATATATGCCCATTTTGAATTTGATGGCAGCAACAAAAATGTTCCAAAAAAGTTGGGATGGGGGAAACAAAAGGCTGGTAAAGTTGTGTAATGCTAAAAAACACCTGGTGGTTAATTGACAACAGGTCAGTAACATCAATGGGTAGAAAAAGAGCATCTATCATCTATGGTACATAATAACATTAAAAGATTCAGAGAATCTAGAGAAATCTCTGTATGCAAGGGACAAGACTAAAAACTAATATTGGCAGGCTGTGATCTTTGGGTCCTCAGGCCGCACTGCATTAAAAACAGACATGATTCTGTAGAAGAAATTACTGCATAGGCTCAGAAACACTTCTGAAAACCACTGTCTGTGAAAACAGTCTGTCACTGCAACCACAAATGCGGGTTAAAACTCTAAAACGCAAACCAGGAACCAGAAACACTACCACCTTCTCTGAGCCTGAGCTCATTTAAAATGGACTGAGGGGAAGTGGAAAAGTGTAGCCAGTATTCATGATGGGATAGGGGGGCATTAGTGCACATGGCATGGGTGATTAGCACATCTGTGAAGGTGCCATTAATGCTGAATGATATATACATGCTTTTTCAACATATGCTGCCATCCAGACGACGTCGTTTTCAGGGAAGACCTTGATTATTTCAGCAAGACAATGACAAACCTTACATTCTGCATGTATAATAACAGCATTGCTCCGTATTAAAAGAGTCCAGGTGCTAAACTGACCTGCCTGCAGTCCAGACCTCTCACCACTGATAACATTTGGCACATTATAAAATGAAAAATATGATAAAGGAGACCCTGAACTGTTGAGCAGCTGAAATCCTATAATCAAACAAGAACAGGAATACATTTCACTCTCAAATCTACAGCAGTGTCTCCTCAGTTCCCAAATGCTTACAGAGTTGTTAAAAGAAGAAGTGATGAAACACAGTGGTAAACATGCCCCCGTCCCAACTTTTTTGGAACGTGTTGTTGATATCACATTCAAAATGGGAACATATTTTTCAAAAAACAATAAAATTTCTCTGTTTCAACATTTGATGTTGTCGTTGTAGTTTCCGTATGGTTTGCATGATTTGCATAACATTGCATTCTATTTTTATTTACATTCTGCACAGCGTCCCAACTTTTTTGGAAATGGGGTTGTATATGAACCTCCCATTTGCTTAGGCAGCATTTGTTAAAAGGAGCCAATGTTAGTTTAGCCACACCTGGTTATAAGATAAGTGCTTCTATGCAAAACCTGTTAGGCAGCGTTGTTCCTGGTTTAAACAGCCCTCAGACTTTTAACACTGACAGGATAATTATTACACAACTGGTTTCACAACCACATTACAAAAGGTCATGCTCTAAAGTGAGGGTCTGGCCAAGGCCGTTAAGCAGGGTTGCCAGTTGCCTCAGCCCTGTAAAACTCCTGGACACTCAATCAGTGGCTTGATTTTTTTTACTTTAGCTGTTCTCAAGCAGAAGTCAGTTCAGCTTCAGAAACTAATCTCAGTTATCATGTCGAAGTCCTGGCTAAACATGTTATAAAACATTGAATACAAATGGCTTGACTGGATAACAAGGACATAAAGTGTCACTGATGCAAAGCACCAGCATGTAGTACCCCATAGGACATCCTGCTGGCCTGGATGTTCATAGAAAACAGTAGAAAAGTTAGTAGCTCCCCCTTGTGGACAATCTTGTAAAACGTATGTGAGTGAGTGAGTGAGTGAGTTACAAGCCAGAGAAAAAGATTTGCCTCT